TGTAAATACAACAAACGAGACTGTTGTTGATTTAGCAAGAGAATGTTTCACAAACTGTGTACATTGGGCAGGTGAACATACGAATCATGAGGGTACAATAGGTTACGTGCAAAGCGCATTCGAAAGTGGACAAAGAGAAGCAAAAAAAATAATTGCTAAATTGACTTGTTGAATTCACGCTATGTAACTACAATAATGCTATGTTAATTCGCAAAAAGGGAGAGTATTTAATCTATATCACAGAAACATTCTGTTTACATAAATACTGGACTACTTTTTTAGAGTCCATGAGCTGAAAAAAATGTTTTTCATAGACTCGGACGGGAGGATTTACTCTGGAATTTTGTTAGACGCACATGACTCAGAAATCTCGCTACACGCATCACACACATTAAACAAAACACTTCAAGAGCTCGTACGGAACAGTTAGACTGAAAAATGTCTACACAGTTCTAATGGTTCTAATTGTGTCTTACAGGCAACTGTTTTATAGAAACTGTTGCAAACTATTGAGGCATACTCTGGCCAGCAGCACTCCGAGAAAGGAGAGGAGTGAGGGGAGGGATCGAAGTTCCCATTTTCAGAGTAAGGCGTTTACTCTCAATTTTAGAGTAAAATATTTATTCCCACTTTGAGAGTAAACGACTTACCCTCAGTTTCATAGTTAGGGATTTACTCTCTTTTCAAAAGTAAGATATTTACTTCTATTTTCGGAGTAAGGCATAGACTTTCATTTTTTGAGTAAAGCATTTTTGTTTTTTCTCTTTCTGTGTTTGATAGAACACAAGATTTCTGCCACGTACATAAACATTCATGTCATGTAAGATAAGATAGCGAGACTAAAAGACTAAAATCGTATAGATCAGTATACATAGCACAAACTACTATGTTTAATCATGCATACGACTCTTTTTACGCATAAGGTCCTATGAATTATGCATAATTTTCAACTATGCATAGCAATTTTTGAAAAACAATGCTAAACTATGTGATTAGGAGCTGTTTAATTTTCTACATGGATGTCAATGCTTGAGAAATAATAAAAAGTGAAAACTTGTGAAAACATTAAAAGAATTATGCAATAATAAATGACCTCCACCTTTAATATAGTGCTGACATCCATCATATAACCGAGCAAAATAGAAAAGGAAAATAATATTTACACATCATTGATATCTGATCTTGCTATAAAGACACTTTGTATATAAAAATATATCCACTGAAAGAAAAAACTCTTCTATAATGTCTGAGGAGCATTTTGATGTAATCATTGTTGGTTGTGGTGCAGCGGGTATTGCTGCTGGTTTAGATTTACAATCGTCCAGTATAAGTTCATTTACTATATTAGAAGCACGTGATCGTATTGGTGGTCGGGCATACACAAAAAAATTAGATAATGTTCCAATTGATTTAGGCGCCAGTTGGATTCATAATTTTGATCCAAATAATGCATTATATAAGCATATGCAATGCGAGAGTTTAGTTGACAGCGTTTTTCCGAACGATACTGTATATTATGATTATGATGGTTCACAAATATCAGTTATTGTACTGGAACAATCTGAAGAGATATGTGAAAAATTATTTGATCTTGTAGATGAACATCGTGATAAAGTATTAAAAGAGAAAGAGAAAGATCTTTCTATAGCAGAAGTTATTGAACACGCATACAATAGAGAACTAGAAGGAAAATCCTCTCAAATTAAACGTACGGTTGATTTAATTTTATCTGAAGTTGAACAGTATGAAGCTTCAAGTTTAAATCAATTATCGGCAGCATGCTATCAGAATAATAATGCGGAAGATATGTCCGAAAAGTATGTCCAAAATGGCTACGGTACAGTGTTAGAAAAATTAGGAGCAAACCTTCCCGTTCGTCTCAACACAAACGTTACATATATTGATGCCAGTAATAGTCAGTTAATTAAAATTTGTACGAATAATTCACCCAATATTGTCTATCATTGTAAATATTTATTGATCACTATACCATTAGGTTGTTTAAAAAACAATACAATCGAGTTTTGTCCGCCATTACCTGAATGGAAATTAGCGTCAATAAAACAAATGGGTTACGGTTTAATGAATAAAATTATTTTGCAATTTTCATCGAATTTTTGGGGTAATGAAGGGAAGTATATTAATCGTACAAGTAATTTAATAAGAGGAGAATTTTGTTTTATATTTAATTTATCCAAGCAGTATGAATTACCTAATGAAAACTGTAATATTCTTGCTCTGTACGTTCATGGTGAATTTGCTTATATGCTAGAAAAATTAACGGATGACGAAATAATTGAATATGCTATGCAAGTATTACGAAGAATGTATGGGACAGAAATACCGAAGCCATTAAAATATTTAATTACGCGTTGGGTCAGTGATTCATTTGCTTACGGATCATATTCACATTTTTCTGTAAATACAACAAACGAGACTGTTGTTGATTTAGCAAGAGAATGTTTCACAAACTGTGTACATTGGGCAGGTGAACATACGAATCATGAGGGTACAATAGGTTACGTGCAAAGCGCATTCGAAAGT